ACGACACAACATGGCAGTAGTTGACTTTATGTATGAAGGTGGGTGACCAATAGCTCAGACACGACACAACATATGGCAGTAGTTGACTTTGTATGAAGGTGGGTGACCAATAGCTCAGACACGACACAACATATGGCAGTAGTTGACTTTGTATGAAGGTGGGTGACCAATAGCTCAGACACGACACAACATATGGCAGTAGTTGACTTTATGTATGAAGGTGGGTGACCAATAGCTCAGACACGACACAACATGGCAGTAGTTAACTTTGTATGAAGGTGGGTGACCAATAGCTCAGACACGAAACGACATGGCAGTAGTTGACTTTATGTACGAAGGTGGGTGACCAATAGCTCAGACACGAAACGACATGGCAGTAGTTGACTTTATGTACGAAGGTGGGTGACCAATAGCTCAGACACGAAACGACATGGCAGTAGTTGACTTTATGTACGAAGGTGGGTGACCAATAGCTCAGACACGACACAACATGGCAGTAGTTGACTTTATGTACGAAGGTGGGTGACCAATAGCTCAGACACGAAACGACATGGCAGTAGTTGACTTTATGTACGAAGGTGTGTGACCAATAGCTCAGACACGACACAACATGGCAGTAGTTGACTTTATGTATGAAGGTGTGTGACCAATAGCTCAAACACGACACAACATGGCAGTAGTTGACTTTATGTATGAAGGTGTGTGACCAATAGCTCAGACACGACACAACATGGCAGTAGTTGACTTTATGTATGAAGGTGTGTGACCAATAGCTCAGACACGACACAACATGGCAGTAGTTGACTTTATGTACGAAGGTGTGTGACCAATAGCTCAGACACGAAACGACATGGCAGTAGTTGACTTTATGTATGAAGGTGGGTGACCAATAGCTCAGACACGACACAACATGGCAGTAGTTGACTTTGTACGAAGGTGTGTGACCAATAGCTCAGACACGACACAACATGGCAGTAGTTGACTTTATGTATGAAGGTGGGTGACCAATAGCTCAGACACGACACAACATGGCAGTAGTTGACTTTATGTATGAAGGTGGGTGACCAATAGCTCAGACACGACACAACATGGCAGTAGAAGAGAAAGAGGAATACCGGGGTAATTCTTTTTAATAATACAATGTTTATTGATCCCACACTTCAAATTGTATCAATACATTGAAATGATACTATACCAGTACAGGATTAATCTATGTATCAATTGCAGCATATAATCCATATAAAGTATTCAAGAGAACGTACAGCGCTGCCGTGCTCAAATAACGCAAGATCAAGAACTTTAAGATGAAAGGTTTGGGTTTCCTAGGAATATACAGTAAACGGAATTACAAAGCGCAGCAGAAAAAAAACACACACAAAAAAACAGTTTTGCACCTCAGTAATTCAGCAGACTCTAAAGCAAGAAACAACCCCAGGTAAAAACAAGATTTTGGAAAATAACATTCTTAAAAAGGGTAAGCTAATATGAGGTCAGTCAATTCATTGCAATCATATTTATTATGAATTAATTGTGGGATTCACTGTGCCACACTTACAAGCTAGCTAGACATACAACAGACGTCAACCTGAGCTATTCATGTGGAAAGAAACAAAATTGCCTGAAATTGAAACCACACATGCTCCTGAAACAGGTGTTGTCAATTTTGAATACATTAATATTAATACCAACTCCAGAGGAAACAAACAAGGATTTAAAAACGGCATTATCTGCGCTTTCAAAATATATTAAACACTTCAGTGCATACATTAAAGATGTTGCAAAGTAAAGAAACAACATTCACACAATTAGGTCAAGTTATGCCTTTGAGGAAAAAAATTGCTAAATATGGATCAGCGGACTTAGTCAAATTCGCTCTGCTGGCAGTTTGGATTTACAGTACCAGGGGAAAACGATACATGTATGTTCCCTAGTGTAATATAATCTTAGAGATCTAACAGGTGGTGGACGCCGAGATGTGGAGACTTTTTAAAAATATAAAGAACACTGTTGAATGCCTGTAAGCAATATACAAGCAACACCCGAAATATAGTTTTTAGATTTGGAATTAAGGTGTAAAGCAATCTGAATAGCCGGGAGTTTGGCACGTGAAACAGACATGCCTAAGAAAATGTATTTATATAACATGTACAACAACATGTATAAACATAGATGCAGTTGTTAATGTTGAGGTTGACATTTGAGAAGCCTTTACTGGTACTGTAGTAATTGTTCCAAGTGAACTATCTATGCAACTACAGTGTAAAAAAGTCAAAAAGGTACATAAGGTGGGAGCCCCAAAGTAATATGGTACAACACTGGAACTTATTTCTAAAATCTTGAGTATGCAAAAGATATCCTGTAGTGTTGCAGAGAAGTGTTACACACAGAGCAAGATGAGGTATAAGAAATGTTATTCTTACCTTGCAGATGAATCCAGAGATCATACTCAGAGTTGTGTACCAAGTAGGCCATCTTGTGTGATAGGCAATGTACACACCAAACAGACAAAAACATTCAAATTCATCCACCACTGTTAAGTACTGCACCAACCTTCCAATCACTATAGCAACTATCGGAGGATAGCTCTGCATGCAGCAGGGAAGACCCTCCTCCATACTGGACCAGTACTGCACCCAGCAAGAGAAAACCCTCCTCCATACTGGACCAGTACTGCACCCAGCATGAGAAAACCCTCCGCCATACTGAACCAGTAC